GTTATTATGAAAATGCAAAACACTAGGAAATCAGGATGGGGCCAATACTCATTCACACCACTCATTCTATATTATAACACTGGAGTTAGCATTGGAGTGTCTACACCATGAAACCAATTCATCCCATTTATTCATCTTCATCACATATTATCTAAATGCAACACGTAAGGCATAACTGCCCCCAGTCTTACCGTCTGGATTGGAGAATAAAAGGGATCCTCTGCTATGGGCTGGTTTATACCTGGTGAGAGGATTTTTGTGGTGGGTTCTGATTCTCCTTTGATAATAGATGGAAATAAATTAGTTGGTAACCCATATTTCTATATAATAAAACACTTGTTAGGTGATGTTTCTGCTGTTGCTTAATCAATGCATCACTATTAAATGGCTTTTAATCACAATGAGTCTCACCTTGTGGCTGAGTGTCACCCTGGGCTAAACTGTAATAAAAGGTTCTAGAAGACAGTTCACCTTCATCTAACAGAATGAAACCAAAAGAAACAATGGGAGTGAAAAGATAGGTAACCATAATAACATTGGTGACTTTTAATCACAGTGAGTCTTACTTTGTGGTTGAGTTTCACCCTGGGCTAAGCTGTAAATAGGTCTATTGGACAGTCCATCTGATGGAGAAACAGTGAGAGTGAAAGAATAGATGACCACGGTAATATCAGTGACAATGACCAAGGATTGCTAACCTCTATATTCAGTGGTTTAAATTACGAAAAATGTTGAATATGTTCTATAATAAAATTAAATTAGTTTGAAGCCAATTTCTTATGTAATAAAACACTTATTTACCTTAGATTGTTTCAAATACTAGGTGATATTTCTGCTTTTCTTAATCTTAGTGTCAATAACAAATGACTTTTAATAACACTGAATCGTACCTTGTGGTTGAGTGTCACTCGGGACAAAGCTGTAGTAAATGGGTGTAGACGACAGTGCATCTTCTTCCATCAGCGAGAAACAGTAAGAGTGAGAGGATGAATAACCACAGTAATATCAATAACAATAATCCGTGTTTGCTTTTTAATATATTCATGGATTTTCATTTGAATTTAGCAAAATTTCACATTCACAGTTAGATAAGAATGCAGCTTTTTGGTTAGTTAGAAATAAAATAACTAACCAACAAATATATGTTTATATATATTTCATCAGATTCATCAATCATTAATCTATGTTATAAAAGCTAAATCCTAAAGTTAAATTAGCAAATAGTTATATATGTTGA